CTTCAGAGTAGCATGTTGGCTCAGGGAGGTGCAGCCTCCTATTTTTAGCACAGATCCATTCAGGCTCACAGCGATTACCATCTCACCCACAGCTGCTGACATGCCAGCATCTACCTGGCATGTCCCCTCATGCCCTCAGCACACCTCACAGTACCACAGGCACCTGCCTTGTCTCTCTCCATGTCTCTCTGGTAGGAACCCGAGGCCAGGATCCAGGCATCCCCATGGAGGTACAGCCGGTGGCCCTGAACTGCAGGGAGCCCCAACTCCCACCTGGCACCAGAGGCACCAGCAGCAAAGCTACCCGATACGGCAGCAGGTTTGCCAGAGCCACCTGACACCCAGACACAGCCAGGTGATGCCTCAGACCCACCAGGGAAAGTGGACCTGAAGTACGAGCAGCCGGGCTCAGTGAGCCACCAAGGCTGGTTTAGCCCAGCCCAGCCACCAGTGTTTTCACTGGTGGGGTATTTTCCTGCATCCCAGCCAGGGCAACACATGACCATCACGAGCAGATCTGAGCCACCCAGCTGCTCCAACAAAGGAATCATTTACAAGATGCTGCCCTGAGCAGGTCTGCAGCTGAACTATGCCCAGGAGCTGGAGGAACCCATTTCCTCTCCCAGACCCCCGGGGGCAGCAGCTGGGCAGCCCCTTCAACACCATCCCAGCTCACACCAGCAGGTCTGGCTGCCAGCAGACCCCACAGCAGAGCCAGAGACTCACATCCTGAGACCCACCTGGCAGCAGGGAGGAACATGCCAGGTTCTGCAGCATGTACCTCTCGCCCCTCAGCTCGGGGAGCAGCCTACCCTCCACATTCTCTGAGCAGCCACTATGGACACCAGGTTTTGATTAGCATCACTTCCCCACATGGGCTGCACACTGGAGTTTCCAGCCACCTCTTGCTTCGAGTCACAACAAGCTTTCAGTGTTCAGTGAAATTTAAAGCATCATCTTACTACACTGATTCATCTGAAACATTTTTAAAAGATGATACACCAGGTGTTGGCAATAAAAACTACCAGCAAGGAATATGATCTACTTGTTAGCACTAATTAAAACTACTGGCAATAAAAGCCATCCAAAGCAAAATCTGGGGAGTGCTGATGAGGTGATGAGAATTTTTCCCTTTTGCTCTGGAGACACACATGAAAGTTTAATTCTTCCACCACACCAAAATTATTGTGGCTTGGTTCATGTATTTGCTCTTTCCTTGCAAGCAGCATTCCTCCTCCTGCAGGTGCTCAGGTGGCTTTTCTAACAGACTTCCAGCATGTTAGACATGACCTCTCTTGCATTGCTGAGGCACACTGAAAAAAACCTTGAACTGAACAAGGCTTGAGACCATGAAGCAAGATTCCCTAAGCCTGACGCCAGAGGGTTTACATGAGGAGTTCTGCATGCCACAACATTTTTCCCTGACTCATTGAAAATCCTTATTAAGAAAGAACAGTTTTAGAAAGCTCTTCCTTCAACAGCATTAGGGCTTCTTGCTGATTTCTTCCTTGCCCCCATACAGAAGTAGTTCCAAATGAGAGAAGTCAAAAAAAAAAAGCACATCAGGCAGCCAGTTCAATTGGAAAGCTTCCTTCCCCTTCGCAAAAAGGAAAAAAACCCAACACACCCCAAACATAGTTATGACATTTACAGCTCTGTTTTGGAAGAGTTGCAACGTGTAAGACGTGTTTGGAAATCACATTCACAGCTGCCAGGCAGCCAGCTACAGTTTGCCCTATTAGGACATAAAATAACCATATTTGCAGTAATTAAGACTGATGAGACCAAGTAATGACTGCAAGTATCACATCTGCTCCCCGTAAAAGTCTTGACTAACCCACAGGAATGGGTAGCCTACAGCAACCCTCCTCTGCTCAGCACTGGCAAGAACAGGGATTGAGGCTTCTTCGACAACAAGGACAGTACAATCTCAAAACAGATCCCACAAAAGACCCTTTCCCTCTCCTAGGTCCCAAGCACTGTTATCCCTTCTCCGGAGGGGCCTGGAACAGGAAGACTCTGAGACTTTTAGTTACATAATGCGGCAAATTGCTGCGCTTAAAAGCCCCAGATTGGCAGGGCTCCAGGGAGGAAAGACAGAGGCTCACATTTATAAGGCACTGCAAATGCCACAAAATATTTCTGGGGCAAACCTTTTATGAAAGTGTCCTCATGCTGCTGCTTTTCAGGGTCAGAGGAAGAGGGAGGTCCCCCACCCAAGAAGGGGCCATGTCTGGCACCTCTACCTCCTCCTGCACATCCCTCCAGCTTGAGGCTTTTCTACTCTGGCCACATGCTCACCTGACACAGGCTGTCCTGGGACCTTGCAAAACCTCTCCCAGGGACTGGGAGCAGCCGGCAGGGCTGAGGCTGGAGAAGGGCAAACAGCAGAGCACCCATTCCCATCAGCCCCGTCCCAAAGCATTATCTTAACAAAAGCCCAAAACACATCTACCCCTCCTGATCTTCCCAAACTCTCCCACAATCTCTGTTCACAGCAACCAGCTCTTTCAGTGCTCAACACGTGGTGAGACAGCATGGGGCCATAAACACCCCCGGGCTCCG